CTCAGTGGCTCCCTTGCCGACATTCCCTAAAACTAACGTGCCCCTCCGCCTTGCCACCTTTGTCTCCTTAAAACCACTAACTACAGTCATAATCACAGCTTAAATGTTTAGAATCTCCCAAATAAATCAGTCAGTCTTAAAATGTAAACAATACCTCTCATTCGGATCGGGATCGAAATTCTTCTCCGACGTCCGCGCGGTCAAACTCAATAAGCCAGCCTATACAATCCCATATTCATTTAACCACACTACTAAGCCATTCAATCAATGTGAGTTTGCGCGACACAACAACCACGTCCCACCGTACTCCCCCCTTCCCCCCCAGCGCATCTAGACTTACACTAGGCTTTCTCCCTTTTTCTTTGTTTTCTAAATCCCATATAAATTAACAGCAGCTTAACTGCTTTCATTGTCCCACTATGCTATACATTAGTTAGGGTAGTTATAAGATTAGGATAACTCTATCTCCCTTCTCTCCCCACTGTTTTAGGTTATTCCCCTTCCTTTACAGTTTTTTGGGAATGGTGATTATGTTTATTATTCCATTATTTATTGTTTCTTCCCCACCGGCTGAAGCGGTCGTTAAATCTCCAATACTACTACTACTCAAGGGCCTCTCTTCCAGCCAAGGGAAGCTACCAATTAAACACAACCTAAAACTCCAAACAAACTAAGAACCTCTCATCCCCCAAAATAGAAGGACTAAATATATTTCAGTGGAACGCCAACGGATTCTTCTCCCACAGCGGGGAATTAAAAGCTAAATTCAAAAGAGACAAAGGTCCACACATAGTCTGTATACAGGAAACTAAATTCTCCACTAGATCTAAATTCACCCTACCAAACTATAACTCAATAAGAACTGACCGAGCCAAAACAAACCCGGGTAGAGCCGGAGGCAGCCTAATCATACACGTCAGGGAAGACTTAAACGACAAAGAACTAAAAATATACACACCAAACCTAGAAGCAAACGGTATCCAAATAACAAGTAACAACCAAAAAATTAATATTATAAATATATTCCACTGGGTAGAAAAACAGGTCAAACCTGAGGATTTGAACACCCTCCTCCAAATAGGCAATAAATCTACAATCTTCCTAGGAGACTTTAATGCCCACCACCCTACCTGGGGTATAGAAGATAAAATAGATAAACACGGAAAACTCATGTCAGAATGGATAGAACAAAATGACCTAATACTACTAAATAACAACCAACCTACTAGATACGACAAAATATACCACAAAATGTCGGCTATCGACTTAACCATATGCACCCCAGATTTAGCCCAAAGTATTCAATGGGAAGTACACGGAGTGCCACTAGGTAGTGACCACTTCCCCATAAATATAACTATAGGAGACATAAACATCCCAACACCAACCAAAAACCAGGAACCTAAATTCTACTACAACAAAGCCGACTGGGACAAATTTCAGGAAATTTGCAACCAGGCTAACCTAGCTGACCTAGAAAGTAACGACCCCGAAATCTACTGTAAAAACCTAACTGTCTATATAAGAAACGCAGCTAAAAACTCCATTCCTTTCAAAACAACCAACATAGGCAAACCCTCGGTTCCTTGGTGGAACGAGGAGATAGAACAAACTAGACGTAAACGCAAATCCGCACTCAATAAAGCCAAACATGACTTCAAACACCTGAAAATAGCACACAAACTAAATCACAAAGTACAAAGCTTAGTTAAAACAGCTAAAACTAGAGACTGGAATTTTTTTTGCGAAGAACTTAACCAACATACAGACACCAAAACAGTTTTGCGCAAAATCCACGCCATTAGGGGCATTAAACGTCTTAGAAAAACCTCCCAACATAAACAATTCAACAAACCCCACTCAAAAAGCTAATAACCTAGCAAATCACTTCTCGTCCGTCAGTAGCAACAGCAACTTCAACCAAAAATTCCAGGAACAACTAAAATCAGTAACCAAATTTACCAAAGAGCCAAAAGATATTAACCTAGAAATTAATCTCCATTTCACAATGGAAGAACTACTCCACGTCCTACAAAATAGGAAAAAGGGCACAGCCTCAGTCTTAGACCTTCCTTCATACCAGATAATTAAACAACTACCACCCAAACTACTCCAAACTCTTCTAAAACTCTGTAACCTCATATATCTAAATGGACAGGTTCCATCACTTTGGAAACAAGCCCTGGTCATACCAATCCCAAAACCTGATAAACCGGCTGACCAAGCTAATTCATACAGACCAATCTCCCTAACTTCTAACTTATGCAAAATAATGGAATCAATGGAAAAAACAGGCTACAACACTGCTTAGAACAAAACAACATAATAAATCCAGACGCTCAACCTTAGATAACCTCGCCCGACTAGAGCAGGACATTAAAACAGGCCAAATTAACAAACAATATACTACAGGCATCTTTCTAGACTTCTCCAAAGCATTCGACATGGTTTGGCATAACGGGCTAATACAAAAACTACAAAAAAATAGGTTTTAAAGGTAAATAATTTAACTACATCCAAAGTTTCCTAACAAACCGCAAAATCACCGTGGGCATAGACCAAACGCTATCGGACCAATGTCCCCTAGAAAATGGCACTCCCCAGGGCAGCATCCTAAGCCCCACACTCTTGAATATTATGATTAACGATCTATATCGAGTGACTATCCCCCAAAACAAACACATCAAAATTTGCGGATGATGGAGCCCTCTGGATCTGCACTTAAAGCATTAAGATGGCCCAAAACTTACGACAAAAATCTCTAAATAAAATTAACTCAACTTGGCACCTCCTCCACCTCACTCCAGGCCTTAACAGGAGAAATGCCACTTAACTACTTAGGGAACAACTTACCCTAAACTTCTGGGCCGCGTCCCAATCAAACTCTCTAATCGAAAGCTTAATAAAAAACAATATTAGCCCAAGAAACCAAGCCCTAGCCCGGAAACATCCACTACTTACTCCAATTTCCCAAAGAATAACCAATTACCTAAATGAACACAAAATAAATAATCTTAAACAAAACAATAAATCATCCAATATCTTCACTCCAAAACTTAAAATACCAAAAATAGACACAACACTAGCCGAAACACTTAATAAACAGACCGATCCTAACATCGCTAAAACCACCACACTAGCATACATACACGAAAATTGGCCAAATTGCTGTCACATATATACACAGATGGATCCTCAGATCCGATCTCAAAACACACAGGTTTCGGAGTCCACATCGCACAACCAACCAAAACAATCAAGCTTACCGACTCCCAAACAACCATTCCATATTCATGGCCGAACTCATGGGCATGGCCTCAGCACTACACAATCAGCAATCTAAAAAACACCAAAAAATACTCATCCTAACCGACTCCCTCAGTGGACTACAAGCCCTCAAAAATAAAAACACTAAAAACCGCCCCAAACTATTAAATCAAATACTCAAAAGCTCAAACAACTTAACTAGGGCAGGTAAACAAATAGAGTTCATTTGGATCCCGCCCACGTAGGAATCTTTGGAAATGAAAATGCAGATAAAGCAGCAAAATTATCCCTTAAACTCCCAGAAATAAGCTTAAACTTACCCAGCTCAAAATCAGAAATCAAAAGTGTCACTAAACAAAAAAATCAACAAAAAATGGCAAAATATATACCAAAACTCAAATAGCTAAATCAGGAAAGTACTCTAAAAAAACCTAACTAAACCAAAAATACTACACCCATCCAAAAAAATCAACAAAATAATTACTAAACTACAAACAGGCCACACCAAACCAAACAATCACTGTAAAATAAATAATCTACACACAACAGGAAACTGCCCACATTGCAAACAACAAGAAACACCAGAACATGTACTTATTCACTGCATACACTACCAAACACACCGAACAACACTACAAACCACTCTAAATCTTAAAACCGCACTTACACTAGAATCAATCCTAAATCCACAAAATAAATTAGAAAAATTCAAAGCCTAAGGCTAATACCTAATTAAAACAGGACTAATTAGTCGCATTTAAACACAAATAAAATATTAAAACCAAAACTACCTAATCTAACAACCACCTAACACACACAGATTAGTTCGTCCTCCACCCACTCTTGGCATTCATTCCAAATCTCAAAATTTAAAAATTACTAAAAAAGCCCCCCTCCTGGGTTGCACAAACTCACTTTTCCCCCTTTTCGGAAACACATTAAATGACCGGGCCGGGCCGTGTGCGACATACGCTTGCAGTCGGAAAGCGCACGTTAAATCTCCAATATAAGTAAGTAAGTAAGATCAAGGGCAGTCCATTTTCAACATGAGGAAAGCGTACACAGTGGAAGAAAAGCTTGACGTCGTGAGGATGTTGTGCTGGTTAAAACTCTCGTTTTTCCGTATCTTAAGCAACATGACCAATCAATGCCACTGAAATACTCTGTACTTGTGTAATGAATTGTGATTTGCTCTTCACTCATAGCGTCTGTTACTACCATTATCGATCGATACATTCATGTAAGTAGACTACTTTCACATTTAATATGACAGTAAGGGCTTATAAATAAAACAAACGGCGAAAATACAATGGATGTATAATTATTTTTACACTATGAACCCTTAACAACTCGTATCATTGCAATGTGCGAGACAAGGCGAAGATCGTGAGATTGGCCCAGTGCGCTCCCCTACGACTCCGCCTCGGTTAAACGGCTCATCGTCTAAAACGCCCCCCAATTATTCGGACCCTCATTGATAGCGTTGTAGCGAGGGACCACTGTATATTTATATATGATGATCTGTCGCCCAAAGGTTGGCTGATTATGATATGTGTATATATATATATATATATGATCTATTATTATTATTATTATTATTGTTATTATTATTATTATTAGCTTTGTTGCAGAAATGCTACAGAAGTCATTCTTCACTGTGTATTAGGACTCCATCAACTACAGCTTCGTACTGGAATTTAGTGTGAAATATTTGCTGTATTTTAACTTCACAGCTCAGCATCAGGAGTTACAGGACAAGCATCAAGTGGCATCAGATGAACGTCACGAATTATCCCATGATGATGAAGTTTTTATGGAAGACAGGGAAGAAACAGCTGATGTTGAGAAAACAGGTGAGGGTTATTCTTTTTTAATAAAGTTCATTAACAATTAAAAATTCACTGTTCCTCAGGTTTGGCCTATATTGATTTGCAATATATCCCAATATTTGACTGTTCAAATGGTACTACTTCACTCACTAATCCAGGTTTCACATTGCAAGATGTATTTTGACAGTACAGATAAACAAGACTGGCATATGTCATCAATATGGAATGTAAACAGAGAAAAGAGTTGGCTGTTATGATAAGAACTCAGTCCATCCAAATTTCTCAAGATAGTAGATATAATTTATGCAAGTAAACATCAATTCTTTGTTAAATGTAACGGAAAATATTGATACACAAGGTTTGTTTTGCAATACATGTACATGATGCATGTACTGTTGACCTTCGTACACCTTTACTGGTCATGCATGTTGGTCATTTCCAAAGTTAGTAGGAAATATGTGCCAACTTGCAAAATGCTGCAGTTGGTATGTAGCTGGTAAGGAATGGGTACCAACATATACTTTGTGTTTTGATTATGATTAGTGTACTGCAGACACCTGTTTGCAAAACAAAGTCAGCAGCTTCAGTTTCTTTCGTTGGCCTTTTCAGGATTCAGATGTGGTGTCTGTCAAAAGGTCATAAAAAAGAAAGGGGGATATACTGTGCATATGCAAATGCACTCAAAGGCGAAAGGTAAGTTAAGTTTTAAATAGCATCTTCCTAGAAATTAAGATTAGTGAACATCCATAACCTACCTGATAATCATGATGCAAATGGCAAGAATTTGCTTTCCAGCACACCTTTTAAGTTTCCAGAAGCAAAGGACTTTCTGTTTGAATGTAGTACTGCATCCTAAACTACTTGGGCTGTCTGAAAAGTTCTAAGCCTAACTGTGAAAGACCCGTACCAAGTCGATGGTTTTCATTTATTTCTCCACATAGTCCCCTACCAGGTTTACACACTTTTGCCAGCGATGCTGCAAGGCCTGGATGCCGGTCAAGAAGAAATTTTCTTCAGCCACCCTAAAAAACTCATTCAAAGTGGAAATGACGTCATCATTACCAGGAAAGTGGCAACCGGCTAGTTCCTTTTTTATTTTGGGAAACAGGTGGAAGTCTGACGGGGCCAAATCGTGTGAATAAGGGGGATGGTCAATGAGTTCGAAGCCACAGTCATGGATCGCTGTCATGGCAACCACCGATTTGTGAACAGGAGCATTGTCTTGGTGGATTAGGACTCCTTTAGTGAGCATTCCCCGTCGCTTAGCTTTGATAGCTTCACGCAACTGTCTCAGTAGGTAAGCATAATATCTTCCATTGATAGTCTGGCCTTTTTCAAGATAGTCAATCAGCAGAATACCCTTGGAATCCCAAAAGACTGAAGCCATCACCTTTCCAGCAGAAGGAACGGACTTGGCTTTTTGGGGGGCTGGTGATTCCGGATGCTTCCATTGTTTAGAATGAATTTTGGTTTCTGGTTGAAAGTGATGAATCCAGATCTCATCCATGGTTACAAATCGGGCCAAAAGATCATCGGGATCTGCTTCAAAACGGCATAAATTGTCACGGGACGTCAGGAATCTGACACGTTTCTGATTCGCTGTCAAGAGCTTTGGCACCCATCGTTCAGAAACCTTTGTAATTCCCAACTCATTGGTGATAATGTGCTCAACCCTCTCATGAGAGATGCCCACAACACTGGCAATATGTCGAGGGGTCAATCGTCGATCAGCCATCACCATGTCATGCACCCGGGTAATGTTTTCCAGAATGGTTGCTGTTGAAGGCCTTCCTGGACGGGGGTCATCGCCAAAGCTCTCTCTGCCACACTTGAATTCCGCAGCCCACTTCTTTACATTGGAAAAGGAAGGGGCATCATCCCCTAAAGTGGAGACCATGTCAGCTTGTATCTGTGTTGGAGTTAGCCCTTTCAGTTGCAGGTACTTGATGACTGCCCTATAGCCAGTTTTGTCCATTTCTGGTGATTTCAATGGGTAGGTTCACAGGATGGTCTGGTACAAAGACAATAATAACACTACAGTTGCAGTTCTTATGTCTATGATTCATTAAATGATTGTACTTGTTGGTGGCAAAAGTTTGTTTCAATCTGATTGAGATATCCCACTTAGGCTTAGAACTTTTCAGCCAGCCTTCCCTAAAGGTCTGCTGATTATGATATGTATATATCTTTGATGATCTGTCACCCAAAGGTCTGCTGATTATGATATGTATATATATCTGTGATGATCTGTCGCCCAAAGATCTGCTGATTATGATATGTCTATATATCTGTGATGATCTGTTGCCCAAAGGCTACTGATTATGATTTGTATATATATCTGTGATGATCTGTTGCCCAAAGATCTGCTGATTATGATATGTATATATATCTGTGATGATCTGTTGCCAAAAGTAGGCTGATTATGATATGTATATATATCTGTGATGATCTGTCACCCAATGGTCTGCTGATTATGATATGTATATATATCTGTGATGATCTGTCGGCCAAAGATCTGCTGATTATGATATGTATATATATCTGTGATGATCTGATGCCAAAAGTAGGCTGATTATGATATGTATATATATCTTTGATGATCTGTCACCCAAAGATCTGCTGATTATGATATGTATATATATCTGTGATGATCTGTCACCCAAAGATCTGCTGATTATGATATGTATATATATCTGTGATGATCTGTTGCCCAAAGGCTACTGATTATGATTTGTATATATATCTGTGATGATCTGTCGCCCAAAGATCTGCTGATTATGATATGTATATATATCTGTGATGATCTGTTGCCAAAAGTAGGCTGATTATGATATGTATATATATCTGTGATAATCTGTCACCCAATGGTCTGCTGATTATGATATGTATATATATCTGTGATGATCTGTCGCTCAATGGTCTGCTGATTATGTCATGTATATATATCTGTGATGATCTGTTGCCAAAAGTAGGCTGATTATGATATGTATATATATCTTTGATGATCTGTCGCTCAATGGTCTGCTGATTATGATATGTATATATATCTGTGATGATCTGTCGCCCAAAGTAGGCTGATTATGATATGTATATATATCTATGATGATCTGTCACCCAATGGTCTGCTGATTATGATATGTATATATATCTGTGATGATCTGTTGCCCAAAGGCTACTGATTATGATATGTATATATATCTGTGATGATCTGTCGGCCAAAGATCTGCTGATTATGATATGTATATATATCTGTGATGATCTGATGCCAAAAGTAGGCTGATTATGATATGTATATATATCTGTGATGATCTGTCACCCAATGGTCTACTGATTATGATGTGTATATATATCTGTGATGATCTGTCGCCCAAAGGTCTGCTGATTATGATATGTATATATATCTGTGATGATCTGTCGCCCAAAGATCTGCTGATTATGATATGTATATACATCTGTGATGATCTGTTGCCCAAAGGCTACTGATTATGATTTGTATATATATCTGTGATGATCTGTCGCCCAAAGATCTGCTGATTATGATATGTATATATATCTGTGATGATCTGTCACCCAATGGTCTGCTGATTATGATATGTATATATATCTGTGATGATCTGTCGCCCAAAGGTCTGCTGATTATGTCATGTATATATATCTGTGATGATCTGTCGCCCAATGGTCTGCTGATTATGTCATGTATATATATATCTGTGATGATCTGTTGACAAAAGTAGACTGATTATGATATGTATATATATCTGTGATGATCTGTCGCTCAAAGATCTGCTGATTATGATATGTATATATATCTGTGATGATCTGTTGCGCAAAGGCTACTGATTATGATTTGTATATATATCTGTGATGATCTGTCACCAAAAGATCTGCTGATTATGATATGTATATATATCTGTGATGATCTGTTGCCAAAAGTAGGCTGATTATGATATGTATATATATCTGTGATGATCTGTCACCCAATGGTCTGCTGATTATGATATGTATATATATCTGTGATGATCTGTCGCTCAATGGTCTGCTGATTATGTCATGTATATATATCTGTGATGATCTGTCGCCCAATGGTCTGCTGATTATGATATGTATATATCTATGATGATCTGTCAACCAAAGGTCTGCTGATTATGATATGTATATATATCTGTGATGTTCTGTTGCCCAAAGATCTGCTGATTATGATATGTATATATATCTGTGATGATCTGATGCCAAAAGTAGGCTGATTATGATATGTATATATAGCTATGATGATCTGTCACCCAATGGTCTGCTGATTATGATATGAAAAATATCTGTGATGATCTGTCGCCCAAAGATCTGCTGATTATGATATGTGTATATATATGATGATCTGTTGCCCAATGGTCTACTGATTATGATGTGTATATATATCTGTGATGATCTGTCGCCCAAAGGTCTGCTGATTATGATATGTATATAAATCTGTGATGATCTGTCGCCCAAACATCTGCTGATTATGATATGTATATATATCTGTGATGATCTGTTGCCCAAAGGCTACTGATTATGATTTGTATATATATCTGTGATGATCTGTCGCCCAAAGATCTGCTGATTATGATATGTATATATATCTGTGATGATCTGTTGCCAAAAGTAGGCTGATTATGATATGTATATATATATCTGTGATGATCTGTCGCCCAATGGTCTGCTGATTATGATATGTATATATATCTGTGATGATCTGTTGCCCAATGGTCTGCTGATTATGATATGTATATATATCTGTGATGATCTGTCTCCAAATTGTCTGCTGATTATGATATGTATATATATCTGTGATGATTTGTCGCCCAAATGTCTGCTGATTATGATATGGATATATATCTGTGATGATCTGTTGCCCAAAGGTCTGCTGATTATGATATGTATATATATCTGTGATGATCTGTCGCCCAATGGTCTGCTGATTATGATATGTATATATATCTGTGATGATCTGTCGCCCAAAGGTCTGCTGATTATGATATGTATATATATCTGTGATGATCTGTCACCCAAAGGTCTGCTGATTATGATATGTATATATATCTGTGATAATCTGTTGCCCAAAGATCTGATGATTATGATATGTATATATATCTGTGATGATCTGTTGCCCAATGGTCTGCTGATTATGATATGTATGTATATCTGTGATGATCTGTCGCCCAATGGTCTGCTGATTATGATATGTATATATATCTGTGATGATCTGTCGCCCAAAGGTCTGCTGATTATGATATGTATATATATCTGTGATGATCTGTCACCCAAAGGTCTGCTGATTATGATATGTATATATATCTGTGATAATCTGTTGCCCAAAGATCTGATGATTATGATATGTATATATATCTGTGATGATCTGTTGCCCAATGGTCTGCTGATTATGATATGTATGTATATCTGTGATGGTCTGTCGCCCAAAGGTCTGCTGATTATGATATGTATATATATATCTGTGATGATCTGTCGCCCAAAGATCTGCTGATTATGATATGTATATATATCTGTGATGATCTGTTGCCAAAAGTAGGCTGATTATGATATGTATATATATATCTGTGATGATCTGTCGCCCAATGGTCTGCTGATTATGATATGTATATATATCTGTGATGATCTGTTGCCCAATGGTCTGCTGATTATGATATGTATATATATCTGTGATGATCTGTCTCCAAATTGTCTGCTGATTATGATATGTATATATATCTGTGATGATTTGTCGCCCAAATGTCTGCTGATTATGATATGGATATATATCTGTGATGATCTGTTGCCCAAAGGTCTGCTGATTATGATATGTATATATATCTGTGATGATCTGTCGCCCAATGGTCTGCTGATTATGATATGTATATATATCTGTGATGATCTGTCGCCCAAAGGTCTGCTGATTATGATATGTATATATATCTGTGATGATCTGTCACCCAAAGGTCTGCTGATTATGATATGTATATATATCTGTGATAATCTGTTGCCCAAAGATCTGATGATTATGATATGTATATATATCTGTGATGATCTGTTGCCCAATGGTCTGCTGATTATGATATGTATGTATATCTGTGATGGTCTGTCGCCCAAAGGTCTGCTGATTATGATATGTATATATATATCTGTGATGATCTGTCACCCAAAGTTCTGCTGATTATGATATGTATATATATCTGTGATGATCTGTCGCCCAAAAGCTACTGATTATGTCATGTACCGGTATATATATCTGTGATGATCTGTCACCAAATGGTCCGCTGATTATGATATGTATATATATCTGTGATGATCTGTCACACAATGGTCTGCTGATTATGTCATGTATATATATCTGTGATGATCTGTCACCCAATGGTCTGCTGATTATGATATGTATATATATCTGTGATGATCTGTCACCCAATGGTCTGCTGATTATGATATGTATATATATCTGTGATGATCTGTCACCCAATGGTCTGCTGATTATGTCATGTATATATATATCTGTGATGATCTGTCACCCAATGGCCTGCTGATTATGATATGTATATATATCTGTGAAAATCTGTCGCCCAATGGTCTGCTGATTATGATATGTGTATATATATATGTGATGATCTGTCACCCAATGGTCTGCTGATTATGTCATGTATATATATCTGTGATGATCTGTCGCCCAAAAGCTACTGATTATGTCATGTATATATATCTGTGATGATCTGTCGCCCAAAAGCTACTGATTATGATATGTATATATATCTGTGATGATCTGTTGCCCAAAAGCTACTGATTATGATATGTATCTGTGATGATCGTTTGCCCAAAGGCTACTGATTATGATTTGTATATATATCTGTGATGATCCGTCGCCCAAAGATCTGCTGATTAGGATATGTATATATATCTGTGATGTTCTGTTGCCCAAAGTAGGCTGATTATGTCATGTATATATATCTGTGATGATCTGTCACCCAATGGTCTGCTGATTATGATATGTATGTATATCTGTGATGATCTGTTGCCCAATGGTCTGCTGATTATGATATGTATAAATATCTGTGATGATCTGTCACCAAATGGTCTTCTGATTATGATATTTGTATATATATTGATGATGATCTGTCGCTCAAAGGTGGCTGATTATGATATGTATATATATCTATGATGATCTGTTGCTCAAAGGTCTGCTGATTATGATATGTGTATATATCTGTGATGATCTGTAGCTCAAAGATCTGCTGATTATGACATAATACTCGGTCTGAAGTTGTAGTTACTCATAGTATATACTTATACTTATAGTAAAAGTAACATTATATGGCAGGTTGGCTAAAACTTTTATGTCTTATACATTATTTTTTACATCATATTCTTTCTTTCACAGATAAATACAGGAAGCCAGAGCGCAGATGCCCATTCTGCAAAATTGGTCAAACGCAATTATCCAGACACATATCTAAACAGCATCAGGACATTCCTGAAGTTTCCGAGGCTATGAAATTTCCCAAAAACTCAAAAGAAAGAAATGCAATGTTTGAGAATTTTAGAAAGCGTGGGATCTATGAATTCAACAAAAACCAGTCGGGAGAAGATACACCAGAATTTGAAGCTGAGAGAAAAGGACAGAAAGATCTTGTATGCTGCTCTTTGTGTAAGGGATTTTATAGTCGGCGTCTCTACCATAGACACAAGGACCTATGCATGAAGGATAGCACATTTGTCCCCAGTTCCGTGCCAGTTGAAATGCTGCATTTGAAGGAGAGTACAACAAAGGAGCAAGATGTATTTTCTAAAGAAGTATTACTTCATTTTCATCCTGATGAGGTCGGCAAAACATGCCAAACTGAACCAACAATAGTTGCTATTGGAAGAATTCTCTTTCAAAAAAACTTAAGAAAAATTGAAAAGACGATGGAAACAAGAAAATCGGTGATGAACGATATGCGTCTTTTGTCAAGATTACTCATTGCATTCCGAGGCAAGTCACATCATGGCATGACAGGGGAAGACATGTTTCGTCGTCGAAACTTTACAATATTGGAGCAAGCAGTTGAGGAGGTGACCACCACTGAAGGGAGGCTCAAGTATGGTTTAAAAAACTCATTGTTCTATCTCCTGAGACAATCAGCCAATCTTCTCATGCTGCGTTCATTTGGAGAAGAAGAGGATGCCAAAGCAAGTGAAATAGAAAAATTTATTCATTTGCTAGATTTAAACCAGAACATTTTATTTGGAGATGCAGCTTATTCAATCAATAGAAGTAGACAGGAAAGACTGAGAATGCCAGAACAGCAAGCAAGAGAAGAGGAAGTCACCACCTTGAGGGTTCATACTCTGAATACAATTGAGAGATTGATGTCAGAGTATGAATTCATTGGGCGTAACGAATATGTTACTCTCCGAGATGCTGTGTGCTGCAGAATTACTCTGTTTAACGCACGACGGGGTGGTGAGCCATCACGACTGAAAACTACAAATTTGGATGACGCAGTTACCAAGAGATGGATCGATGACTCCAGAGTGGAACAGTTGGAGACCTGGGAGAAAAAGCTCTTCGGTGAAATGCTTGTTGCATACCAGGCTGGGAAAGGGAACCATTTAGTTCCAGTCCTGATCCCAAGAGACTGTGTCGGTGCCTTGTCCATACTTACTGACAAAGACAAGAGGAAGGAAGTTGGGATTCTGGAGGAAAATCCTTATGTATTTCCAAACACACAACAGTCACCATATCATGTGCTAGGTTGGGATGCGATAAGGAGTATGTGTGATGCAGCTGGTGTGAAGCATCCAGAGTTGTTGACAGCATCAAAACAACGACACAGGATCAGTACCATATATGCTTCACTTGAAGTTCCTACTTCTGACAGAGAATACTTCTACAAACATATGGGACACAGCAAGGGTGTCAATGAAGGGGTCTACCAGTACCCTCTCCCAATTCAAGAAGTTACCAAAGTTGGGAAACACCTACTTCAAATTGATCAAGGTGAATATGAATAGCTTACATGAGTCATTGACTTCATAGACGTTTTGTAGCCCGCAGTCTAGTGTTTATCATTTCTTAGTAGCAGGATAACTAGTCTAAGGTGTAAATTATAAGGATGATTAATTTACCTGGTTTTGAATAAGATCACTGAACTCACAAGTGATGAAAGACAATGCACATTGCATATGATGATTTTGAAGAAGCCATTTTGATTCTAACAAAAGCTACTAGGTTTGACTTTGTGAAAGACCTTTAATTTTAGGCAGTACTAATAATGTATATCATAAACTACTCAGTACTAGCATCAGTACATTCTTTTTCTGTGTGTTGAAGTTTGATTGTATTTTAATCACTCAAGTGATGTAAAAGGTGTTCAAGATGTCAATTATATCATTTTTTAAAATCAGGTGATGCTCCTCTGGCGACTGAGTCTGGGATTCAAAGCCAACCTGACATGGTTGCAATAGCCGAGCAACAGGAAGAAGATGCCCATGACGTAAATACAGGCTCTCTGTGTCTTACCAGTCCAGGTTTAGTGGAGAAAAACCCAAGAGATTTTGATACCAAAAGATTCAAGTGGACAGAGGCAAATACAAGACTGATTAGAGACACATTTAAGGAGTGGATATGTCTACCAAGTGGCAATTCGTTGCCAAGTAAGTTTCTTCATGGGTGCTTTTCATGCCTTTTTCTGTTATCACAGACGCATGGGATGTCATCCATTCCATCATGACATTATTTCATTCCAGAGTGACCTCATGTCTGTCTCACAACTTTGAGATTTAACATAGATAGAAATAAATAAAAAAATTAAGACTATATCGTTTGCATTTTACAAGGTAATTACACAATGTGTGTTTTCAGATTTGTGGGTTTAATTGAGTTGTCATATTATTTCATATTTATTTTTATTCTAACCATAGACTAAACTTATGTATGGGATTATATGTGATTATATCTATTTGTGCAGCCTTTCAAAGTAACATCTTTAGTCCACTAATACTCATAAAGATAACATATATAGTAAAATCCTTAAAATGGCAAATTTCTACTTGTCCGTATGACAACTTAACTGTCGATGATACATACATACAAGGACTATAGAATTAGTGTAAATTTCTATTGCTCATGTTGACCTCAGAGTGGACATAATTTTAACAACTTTTGTTATTTTTCAGACAGGAAAACAGTTCTTGCATACCTTCAGAGCTCAAAGCTTGACTGTTCATATGCTCAGCTTAGAACCAAAATCATGAATGAACAGAACAAACAACAACAAAGGAGAAAGAAGAGATGGAACGCATTTCAGGAAAATTAGATAACTGAACATTAAAATACAGTGTAATGCATATTTAGCTCTGTCAACACATGGTAAACTTCTTCCCTTTAATTGTCAGACTGAGTGACCTGGACTTTAGCACCTACATGTATGTAACTATCCCTCTCAACTTGTGAGGGGTATTAAGACCATAACTATCTTTCGGAATACCCTGTGTGGTTTTTTTTTAGGTTGCACCATCAAAAATCACATTTTAACTGTCACTTTCATGATCTGATAAGCGATGCTCTGATTGGTCAGATGAAAGGTCGTTCTGACATGACCCACAATGAGATGTCCTCAGATCTTTGTTTAGCAGTAGCGAGAACTAAGATCTGATTTTAATGAGATTGTTGCTATGCTGGATAGCCCTTTGGAATGTGTTTGAAATATTTGCCATGCAGAGTAGCTCTTAAGAAAGACCTTGAAATAATTGCAATGGGGGATAGCCCTTTGGAATGTGCTTAAAAAACTTGCTATGCAAGATAGCCCTTTGGAATGTGCTTGAAATACTTGTTATGCAGAGTAGCCTATTTGTATGTGCTTGAAATACTTGCTATGCACAATGACCGTTTGGAATGTGCTTAAAATACTCATAATGCAGAGTAGCCCGTAGGAAAGTTCTTGAAATATTTGCCATGTAGAATAGCCCAATGTAATGTCTTGAAATACTTGCTGTGCAAAATATCCCTTTGGAATGTGCCAAAATACTTGCTATGCTGGATAGCCCTTTGGAATGATCTTGAAATACTTGTAATACAGAATAGCCCTTTTGTATGTGCTTGAAATACCTGTTATGCAAAGTAGCCCTTTGGAATGTGCCAAAATACTTGCTTTGCTGGATAGCCCTTTTGAATGATCTTGAAATACTTGTAATGCAGAATAGCCCTTTTGTATGTGCTTGAAATACTTGTTATGCAGAATAGCCCTTTGGAATGATCTCGAAATATTTGCTGTGCAGACTAGCCCTTTGGAATGTGCTTGAAATACTTGCTATGTAGAATAGCCCTTTGGAATGTGCTTGAAATATTTGTTGTGCAGACTAGCCCTTTGGAATGTGCTTGAAATACTTGCTGTGCAGACTAGCCCTTTGGAATGTGCTTGAAATACTTGCAATGCAAGATATCCCTTTGGAATGTGCTTGAAATACTTGCTACTTGCTGGTTGAAATTTAGTACCAAGGTAATTATGGAAGCCCATATTCCTGTCTTATTAATTATCCTTGTATGTATCATTGTATATATGTATCAATGTATGTTTCATTGTGTGTATGTATCATCGACATGGGTAAAATGTGTGAAGCCCATTTTTGGTGTCCCCTGCAGTGATATTGCTGGAATGTTGCTTAAAGCGGCGTAAAATCATACTCACTCACTTACTCACTCACATGTATGTATCATGGTTTGTATGTATCATTGTATGTTTGTATCATTGATCGTAAATGATGTTTCCCTCGTTTGAAGTAGTGAATTAGAGGGAAACTACTTTCTCCTAGTGGTACGTTCTATAATCAAGGGAGGTAATAATGCCAGTAGATGGCGCTGATACTTGGGGCTATATAAGGGTAGGATTTTATGATGTCGCCTCTCTCGCTTGCAATCACGGCAGTTCAATTAACAACATGACTGATGAATCAACCGCGGCAAAACTAGATGCCATCTTGGTTCAGCTTAATTCAAACAAGACAGAAATTGAATTGGCAATCGATTCCAAGTTAACCTCAATACGAAAAGAGTTTCTGCAGACATCTGAAGACGTAAGAAACATAAAAGCCGAAAAAGAATACAGCTGGTCACGGGAGGGAAACAAGGTCAAGAGCCAGGTCCACGACTTTCACTACACAGCCTGTGCAGTTTGCTTTACCTGCTTCTTCTGGTGTGCAGTCGATTCCACCAATCAACAACCAGCTTTTTCGAGGCAAAGGTCAGCGACAAGGATCATGTTTTCACTGCGGAGAATTCACGCACTTCAGAAGAGACTGTCCCTATCTCAACGCAAATGTCCAGACTGCAAGGATGTCAAGCAGCGTCCCGTCAGCAACCGCCACGCAGTAGAGAGGGCACATGCCAAGGTCTATCAGCTAAGTGTTCATCTACACAATGTTTCGATGCATGTAATCTTAAATTGACTGATAATTACTTTGAATATGAGCAGGGTGCTGCAGAAATTGTCGTTAAAGTTTGTTTGAAACAGAATGAAAACTTTTGGCAACAGATAGGTGCAAGTGACTTTGTTTTAGATATAATCAAAAATGGATACAAAATTCCATTTTTGTGTATGTCACCCAAAATGCACTTGCATAATAACAAGTGTGCCTTAAATAACGCTGATTTTGTGTGTGAAGCTGTATAAGAGCTTGAAGCTGTATAAGAGCTTGTCAAGAAACAACTAGTTGTTGAGTGTGATATCCTGCCGTATGTTGTTAATCCTCTATCTGTCGCTATACAGTCATCGGGTAAGAAACGCTTGATTTTAGACCTGAGTATCGTCAACAGGTTTGTGCTCAAAAAGACTTTGAAATTTGAAGATTGGAAAACTGCTTTAGAATATATCAGTGCAAATGATTGGCTAATTAAGTTTGACATCCATTCAGCATATCATCATATAGATATCTACGGAGGGCATACTGACTTTTTGGGCTTTGCTTGGAATGCCCCTGATGGAAAAACACATTTTTATAAGTTTGTAGTACTTCCCTTTGGACTGACAACAGCTCCATACGTTTTTACAAAAGTCACTCGCCAGCTTGTCAAGAAGTGGCGTTTTGAAGGACATAAGATAGTCACATACTTGGATGATGGTATATTATCAGCAGAGTCAGAATTAAGAGCACTAAATTCAGGTTCTGTCATTAAAAATGACTTGATTAAGTCGGGGTTTGTACCTAAAGTTGACAAATCTTTATGGGCACCTTCACAGTCCTTGGAATGGCTCGGTTTTCACATTCAGACTACAAATATGACTATATCTGTACCTCACAGGAAGATAGTCAAGGTGAAGTGTTCAATTACTGACCTATTAAAATCCAATTCAAAGAATGTCAAAGTGCGAGATGTAGCTTCTGTTGTCGGTCAGCTAGTGTCCATGAAACTGGTCCTGGGGCCGTTATCACAGCTTATGACAAGGTCATTAAGCATAGACATACTTTTGGTTTCTTCTTGGCATAGTTCATTAAAACTTTCATGTGACAGTATTCATCAATTGAAATTTTGGCTGGGTAATATTGACAAACATTCTTCAAGAGCACTTGTTGAAAAATCTCTTACTACAAGACTTGTTTATTCTGATGCCAGTGATAGTGGTTTTGGTGGGTACTGTGTTGAGATTGATTCTGACAAGTCCCATGGTCAGTGGTCTGCGGAAGAAGCTCGTCAGAGTTCTACATGGAGGGAGTTAAAGGCTGTTCACTTGACATTACTGAGCTTTATTCCCAACCTGAAGAGCAACCGTGTTATGTGGTGTACAGACAATACAAACATTGTGTCAGTCATTGAGAAAGGCAGCATGAAAATACATTTGCAAACATTGACTTTACATATATTTGAAATATGTACAAAACAGTCAATACAGTTGTACATGCAGTGGATTCCACGATGTGATAATCAGACAGCTGACTATCTTAGCAGAATGATTGATTATGATGACTGGGGTATTTCAAAGACCATATTTCAGCAAATTGAACAGAAATGGGGTCCACATCAAACAGACAGATTTGCGTCATATTATAACACTAAACTTCAGTGTTTTAATTCCAGGTACAGCAATCCTGGAAGTGACGTTGTGGACTGTTTCACTGTCAACTGGAGTGGAGTTAGGAATTGGGTGGTTCCTCCTGTATGTTTGATTCCAAGGGCAATCAAACACATGTCAGAATGTAAGGCTAAGGGTACCCTTGTGATACCAGAGTGGCACTCTGCTTGTTTCTGGCCATTGATATGTCCCAACTCAGTATTCATTCCACAGGTGAGAGATTGGATGTATTTGCCACGATCGAAGGAGGCTTATGTTGCCAGTAGAATAAAGGGTGGCATGTTTGGAGAGAAAGATCTTTCATTTAACATGTTAGCGCTTAAGATTGATTAAGACCGTATTTTGGGTGTTTCAGATATATTTCGGACAAACTATAGTGATGAGATTGCTACACTTCCGAGAGGTGTCCGCGAATTAGCAGCGGCTCTGCCAGGCCTCTTAGCAGGGTGTAGAGCTGATTCTACAACAAGAAAGTATACATATGGCTTTGGAGCTTGGAAAAGGTGGGCGATCGTCAATTCTATGTCTGTAAAATTGCCATTGTCGTCATTGTACTGTGCTTTATACCTGTTATCTGTAATTCAGCAGAGTGATTCTATATCTCCTGTTCAGACAGCGTTCTATAGCATCCGTCATGCTCATACTTGTATTGGTTTAGCAAGTCCAACTGATAATTCACTGGTGCGTAATGTCTTGGAGGCAGCAAGGCGAAAATTGGCTAAGGATGTATGTAAGAAGGAGCCAATTACCATTAGCCTGCTAGAAAAGTTGTATGATGGTAGAATGGCAGATCCATCACTGTATGATTTGAGAATTATGTCAATGTGCTTATTAGCCTTTGCTGGGTTTTTAAGGTCAGCAGAATTGTTGCAGATCACGAGATCAGACATTGTATTTTATGATGCTCATATGATGGTATTCATTGAGCAGTCTAAGACTGATGTCTACAGAGATGGGGCGTGGCTGGCTATTGGGCGGACAAACACCAAGCTTTGTCCAGTGGTATGTTTAGAGAGATATCTAAATAGTGCGGAGATAAGTCTCGATTCATCTGAATATATATTCAGAGATTTGTCCAAATGTATTGCTGGTTATAAACTTAGAAATATTAATGTACCCATGACTTATTCGCGTTTGAGGGAATTGTTCATTGAAGCATTTACGCCATTTGTTGACAATATAAAGAATTATGGACTGCATAGTCTTCGAAGTGGTGGTGCATCTGCAGCAGCTAATAATGGCATCCCCGATCGCATGTTTAAGAGACATGGTCGTTGGAGAAGTGAAAAAGCAAAAGATGGCTACGTGACAGATAATCTTCAATTCAGGCTAAAAAGTTTCACTTTCTCTCGGACTCTAGACTTTCTTTGAATCTCTGCCGTGTACCGCACAGCTGTTCCAGTGTATATTTTGTTGTGTTTAAGGTGATTATTAGAGTTTGGTGTGGTCTAGGAGAAATGATGTTTCCCTCGTTTGAAGTAGTGAATTAGAGGGAAACTACTTTCTCCTAGTGGTACGTTCTATAATCAAGGGAGGTAATAATGCCAGTAGATGGCGCTGATACTTGGGGCTATATAAGGGTAGGATTTTATGATGTCGCCTCTCTCGCTTGCAATCACGGCAGTTCAATTAACATGTAAATTTATTGATGTTTGCTTCTTTCATTTTTATTATTCCGTTTCTAATATCTTTTTCATGTTTCAGGCATTTCGTTTTGAGATGTGGACGTGTGGCGGTGAGGCCACATTCTGTTATGGTCATCTGTCTCTGTTGACAGGCCATGTGTGTTGATGATGCTGGAGAGCTGTTAAAATACTCATTGGTATAATCGTGTTTACTACCACATGTGAATTGTGGCTGCAGAGCCTTTAGAATACTTTGTATATATGTTTGCATTTCATTGGCTACACAATGTACGGTAGGCTGCAGAGCCATTAGAATACTTGGTCTTGGAAATGTTCGGTTGGCAGAACCATTATAATACTGCTGTATTGGGTGTGTGTGACCCATGTTAGATGAGTAAAATAAGGCTTTTGTGTATAATTTGTATTTGTAAAAGTATGTTGGACATGTGTAAAGGGTAATTCAAATACTGTATACTCCCCAGTTACTGGTCCTGTTGCATTCGTAGGGAGAACACGGTTCCAGAGCTTTTTGTATTAACAAAATTTTTATCTCTGGTTTTACGTGTCGGGCTTCAGGTACCATTGCCATTTGTATGTTTCGATATGTTATATTCTATATGTTATAACACATGTTATAATGGTATATTGAGTGACGTGATGTCACTGTGTGTTGTGTCTTGCGTCTTGTGCTTCGAAAATAAACTGCCGTGTACCGCACAGCTGTTCCAGTGTATATTTTGTTGTGTTTAAGGTGATTATTAGAGTTTGGTGTGGTCTAGGAAAACATTGTATGTATGTATGTATGATCGTTAGCTCACCTGGTCCATACCATGGCATCTGGCGTCCGCCTGGTGTCCGTACGTCAACATTTATTTTACAAATGACTTTTTCTGAACCACTGATTGGAAACTAACAAAATTTGACTGGAAGCATCCCTAGGTGGTGGGGATTCAAAATTGTACAAATGGTGGGATTGTACCCCTAGGGGACCAAATAGGGGTAATTTGGCTCTATTGCTTTAAACGACTTCTTCTCTGGAACTAAATGATAGATATCAGCCATATATGGTTGTAAGTATTCCCCGGTGGTGAGAATTCAAAATTGTACAAATGGAAGGGATGATCACCCCCCAGGGGGCTGAGGGGCGGGGCCAAATAGCACACACACACACACACACACACACACACACACCGGACACACACACACACACACACACACACACACACACACACACACACACACACACACACACACACACACACATTTTTGTTTAGTAGGTTAGCACAGGTTAGTAACAAACACACCTCACTACCATCCACAAGCTGCATGCATGCACACATCCCCTCCGATACATCCCCACACATACACATACATACATTATTTAGTACTGATTAGATAATTGCTTTCTCACTTCATTGCATACTTACTTACATGCTGGTTTAGTGGTTAACTGGTTAGTAACATGATCCTACACACACACACACACACACACACACAGACACACACACACACAGATTCACATATACACACACAGACACAGACACAGACACATATACACATACACACACAGAGTTATACAATCAATGATACATACATAAGATGTGATGTGATGGCGGTCTTTAAAAAGTCAAGTCTGTACCCAACAATCCAGTGATTGACATCATGAGCATCGATTCACGCAGTGGGGATACGATGACACCCATCAACCAAGTTGGCGTGTCTGACCACCGACCCTGTCAGTCGCCACTTATGACAAGCATAGTCACCTTTTCCGGCAAGCATGGGTTACTGAAGACCTATTCTACCACAGATCTTTACGGGTCACATACATACAATGATATAATCAATGAGACATACATACCATGAGGCAGAAAACAACAATGATACAAACTATCATACAATCAATGATACATACATACACTGATACAAACATTGATACATACATACAGTTATACAATCAATGATACAGACAAACACTGATACAAACAATGATACATACATACATAAATGTATAAAAAATGTCACATTTGTTGTTGTTTGATGATTCTATGTCAACATGTAGTTCTCACGATCACATGTGCCGCAGCCTCAACGGTGACTGGTCAAATTGTTCCATGTGAAAAAATAACCAGCAATCACTACGCTTAGGCTTATTATTATTATTTAAATATTTAATTACAGCTGCAACCAAAATAACATGATACTGGAATATATATTTTCCTGATAAAAAAATAGTTTCAGATACAATTTTTCCCCGATCCTTGCACTGAAATCCTTCAAAGGTATATTAATGAGTAAGTTTTAACCGAATCACTGGTAGATTCCAAGAAAACGTGTGTACATCTGATTGCTGTTTCCGCCTTAGAGAAAATATGCAAGGTAATCTTAATCCCAGGATGTTAAACAATGCCTAGCAGAACAAACAAGAAAGAAGTGAGCAAAGCTCAAATACCCCCGTTATCCCCGCTGGTCAACAACAAATAGTAAATACTTTGTAAATGAATGAAATATTACATATTTCTAACTGTTTTAAAAATTAAGATTGAGTTCCAGTGACAATTGACCCCCTCCCCCCTTCCGAATCTCCCATGTTACGAGTGTTCAATACGAGGAAGTAGATCACCATGAACACCTTTGAATAAATATTTGATTGAGGAGTTACATAAGAAGAATTATCAAAAGGACCGAAAATTGTTGATATAAAAAACAAAAAAATATGGAACAATATCATATAAGAAAATCAACAAATTAATAATTTCCATCTAGCCTAAACAAATATGGTAAAGATTCATAAATTCAAACTATCACAAAGCACAGATACTTATGATGATCTACATGTGTGGAATTTTTAAAAAAAAATATATTAGCTATACAAACCAGTCATCAAAATTTCTAAATTCCATCATGTTTCCATGAAAACAGCAATAGAGAAAACTTTCAGAATCTTATAAAAGATAAAAAACAATCATAGCGGTTAATTAATGTAGCATGTATTGATGGTTTGTTCTTGTTCCTAACTTATTTCATTTAAAGTGAGCTTTGTCAAAAATAAAAATTAAGGCCATCTATATTGCACTGTATGTCCACACCACACAGGCATGCCCCGAGTACACACAAATAGCAGGAATGCAGTTTGCTCTGTAAGTGCTTATCAACCATATCTGCAGAGATAATGTGAATAGCACTGAAAGATGTGTGTTTTACACCCAGACTTGGAGTGTTAGCTTTGATTTCAGTGTGAGAGGGAGTGAGTACAATGCTGAAGGTCTTTAACTTTGATTTTGGAACTTGCAGCAGGAATTCTTGATTTGGTCGAAGAGTTCTTGCAGGGACATACTGGCTTGTGAGATCTTTGGGTGCCAAAGAAGGAAGCTTGAAATCAAGTCAACCTTGGTCAAAGTCAACATTTAATACATCTGCCATGATGGGTTTCTATTTGGAGACATGTTTTTGAAACATTCTGAACTGGAAGTTTGACCAAAATTTCTTGACCTCAGTTCTGACCTAATCTGAAGGAAGGAGTTGGGAAGAATTATGCAAAATGATAAATGGGTGTTGCAATATTGTATTTAGGGAAACATTCATATTATCATAGCAAGTGCAGACTGTTAATACTAACCATAAGAAGTGGTCAGTCTTTTTTATAAGATTAAACACTGCCATAGTAGAACTATGAATTGGTCATATGTGTGTTGTAGCACATCAGTAGTTTTCTGAATTTCAAGAATGATGTAACAACAGATTAAAATTGAAGGCCATGGTATGGAATGTATTTATGACTGGGCAGGGCCAAGCCAAATGGTGGCAATTTTTAAATAAGAAAGACATATATATGGTACATACATATTACACAGCAACCATTGGGTGACATATATATATATATATAATAAAGAGCAACCATTGGGCGACATATACTTAATATACCTTTGGGCGACAGTAGCCTAATGGTCTCATATATACATGTACACTGTCCACTTTACCTTTGGGCGACAAGGTATGGGCGACATAAAAAATATATTCCTTATTTGTTTATATTTAAAAGGTTAGGTGTTTTTTTAATACTTATGTTTCAACTTTGAATGTTTATATTTGTAGCAGAGTAGTTAAGTTATGTATGCTTGTAATATATGGCAATGTCGCCCAAAGGTGGCAATATGTCATAATGTTGCCCAATGGTAGCATTTGTCCTTATATATATATATATATATATATATATATGTTCTCCATTTAAAACAGAGAGAAAACAACTCATGAATATTCTTATATTAAACAAAACAAAATTTAAGATGTTTAAAATGAATTTACTTTATAATAGCCCAAGATTAGAACATTGAGAAAACGACCTATGTTGTGTAAAATAATCGTGATAGAGTTCAAACTTGGAAAGAATATTTCATAAATGGTTTTACAAATTTTTAGCAAAGTTGTCTTTTTACCTCATCCGACTCCACGGAAAATAGTTTCATATAAACACAGATTCAGATTCAGATATTTTTTTACAAAGAATGCATCAACTGATTCAGTGAGCTCCTTCAATCAGCTTGAAAGGATTACCCACAGAGAAAGAAAGGATTAAATATCTACATGCTATTATGAATTCACGACCAACTTCCTCTAATACTAAAATGGTACCCTTGGTATCCCAAAATGAGATCATGTATACATGGTCAGGTCCGGTAATTGTTGAGATCACAAATCCTATCTACAGTCAGATAACATGACAGTCTATCTGTTTTCAATATCCTCTTATAATAAGTGACAAATGTGGGAAAATACATTCTGAAGGATATCATAATGCCCCAATTTCACTACGGCCACGAATATCCCGACTCGTCCCGAATAGGATTTTTTCCATGTTCGTTTATAAATCTCAGTCATTTCTTGAAGTTCTTAAATGAATCTTATTTGATTCCCAATCATTCGTACACTTCGCGGGAGTTCGTCGAATCGGCGAGAAAGGTTTTGTTTGTCAAAAACTTTCGTGGAAGGGTCCCCGAATTGCAATTTCGTGGCTGTATGGTTTACCATTCGTAATTAATTCTTATGTTCCGTAACAGCTTCGTAGTTGATTCTTTTGCACTCTTGGCTATTCGTAGCGATTCGTGGCTCCCAAAATTTCTTGTCCTCAACCCGAAAACATCCCGAAACAGCCACGAATGCCCCGAGTGAACTACGAATCATGTAAGAATTAAGTAAGAACAACACGATTCCCCAAGGACCAGGAACCGAACAACACGTGTTCTCAGTTTCCGTTGAACCTTCATGGTGGCCAGCCTTTCGGGACCCAAGAACATGCCGAAGTGTCAGGAAAAGTCCCGAATTTCGCAAACTATTCGTAAATATGTCGCATTAGTCGTATCTTATTCGTTGCGATCGTCCTGCTTTCGTACATGCATTCGGCATATTCGTAACTTAGTCGTAGGTGATTCTTACAATTCGTGCATGATCCGTACATGAATCTTGTAATGCGTACATGTTTCTTAACCCATTCCTGGCATTCTTCATATTTTTCAACCCCATTAGCCACGAGTTTTTGTAACACCGTCGTACGTTTGCCCTAACTTCTTCGTACCTCCTACCGATTCTCCACGAAAGTTTGCATTATTGGCCGAATCATCACGAATTTTGAAAGTTTCCGATTCGGGCTGATTCGGGATATTCGTGATCGTAGGGAAAGGGGGGGGATAAAGACGCCTCTAAAGATACTCTAAAGTATAGCCTTTGATGTTTGCT